TTGGGGGGGGTGGGAGGGGTGTGTGTAGGGCTTGGGTAGCTGTGATGACTCCTAGAGACTGTCTTGGTGAGAAATGAGAGGTGAATCGGGAGGAGGCTGGTGGGAACTGGAATGAAGTTATGGCAGAGAGGGGATGCATTGTTTAGGAGGGGCAATGCCATATTTTAGGTGACAGTGAAGGGGGAAGGCTGCTGCATAGGACAGTGCATAGTAGTAAGCAAGACTATCTTGTTTGGTTGTCGGCGATGGCTAGGGAGGATGTGCTGAAGCCCATGGGCAGGATGGTTCAGGTCACCCACTAGAGAGATGTATGAGTCTGTATGTGTCAAGTGTTTGGTGACTGGAGGGGCAGGGCCTGCTGGAGCTGTGAAGCCTATACCTCAGAGTCCTGGTTAGTGGAAGAATGGAGAAGGGCACTCGAGGGCATTGCTCTGAGTGGGACCCTTTCCATCCTTCTCCAGTTAGGGGAAGCTCTACCATGGCCCTGCTCTGTGGAGGTGCTGGTGAGGGCTGCTGACTCCTCTGAGTCCCTCTGAACCAGGCCTCCCTGGGTGCCAACTTCAGGCACTTTTATCTGCTTGATAGAATGTGCTGCAAGTTCTGTCACCTAGGCAAAGTATCGTGTTTGGGCATTTCAGTTCTCACGACTGTCGTCTTGACATTCCATGCTTCAATTCCCCTTAACGGTCTCACCCCCAGTCCCCCATGTCCTGTTTCCCATATCTTTAGGGTTCTGGTGGACTGAGACATGGAAAGCTTGGATGGCCTATATCCCCCATTAACTCTGAGCTATTTCTCTTCTCAGAGCCCCTTCCGACTGTTGTCTGTGACCAACAACAAGTGGCCTAAGGGTGTTGGTGGCATTGTGGAGATCCCCTTCCTGCTTTCCAGCAAGTACGGTGAGTAATGGAGCTAGTGACCTACCACAGGTCACAGGGTTTCAACTCCCCCCTTTCCTGCAGCTCCACCTCCCTTCTATACCAAGAGTGCTCCAAAGCTCCATCTAGCCTAGGGCCTCCTGAGCTAGAAGGAATTTCTGCAAGAGCTGATGGGTCTGCCTGGTCCCCACTAGTCCACCTAGTTACTCAGCTAGTTCCCTGCCAGCATCTCTGCCTTCTCTCCAATGCTGTCTTCTCTGAACGCTATTTTGGAACTGCGCTAAGAGTCCTGCTCTCAGCCCCCATGTAGGTTCCAAAGGGCCTCAAGGGCTCTGGGACCTTGGCAGGGGGTCAGCCATAGTGTGTCTTCCCTAGATGAACCAAGTCGCAAGGTCATCCTGGAAGCCTTTGCTGATTTTGAACGTTTCACGTGCATCCGGTTTGTCGCCTACCAGGGCCACAGAGATTTCATTTCCATCCTCCCTATGTCAGGGTGAGTGCTTCTGAGGTGTGTGTGTGCATATGTGTTGTTGTCACTTCTGTATTCAGCCCAGAGTGAGCAGAGATAGCATCTAAGCCAGGTTCTGGGCACATCTTGAGCTTAAACTGAGTGGTTCACCCATACCTGGACGTTCAGGGCTGAAGGTAGGGGAAGGTATGGGTACTGGCCACAAGGATCCTCCACTGCAAAACCCTCGTCTCCCAGAAGTCTTTGTGACATGAGTCTGGATAAATGCTGGGCCCTAGTTTTGCCATGCATGTGTCATTGAGTCCAGGTGAGTCCCTTAAACTCTGAGCCTCTTCATAGAGGTAATGGTAATTCGTATATCCTAGTTTGTTAAGGGTCTGAGATAATGTGGATGGAAGCTTGTGACTCAGATTTATGGCACGAGCCTCATGTAATGAGTCTCTCATGTAGTGACCTGCTTCTTTGTCCACATTAATGTCAGATCCCACCTCTTGGCAGCCCAGGGTGGTAATGAAGCTTTATGACACTCACTTCACAGTCCAGGCTGTTAAGGAACCTGGGGGATGGGACAGCAAACCTGGGGCTAGAGTCCAGGATTGGCCTGCCTGTCTGGTATTGATATATCCCAGGACCTAGGTGGGAGGAAGTGTCTGTCCTGCTCTGACTTTCCAGGCTGATGTCCAGCCCAGTTTACTCTTGTGGTCCTGCAGGTGCTTCTCCAGTGTGGGGCGCAGTGGAGGGATGCAGGTGGTATCCCTGGCAACCACCTGTCTCCAGAAGGGCCGGGGCATTGTCCTGCATGAACTCATGCATGTGCTGGGCTTCTGGCATGAACATGCACGGGCAGATCGGGATCGCTACATACGTGTCAACTGGAATGAGATCCTCCCTGGTAAGCCAGTTGGTGCCCAGGCTAGGCTGAGCCTGGGGGGCCCTGAGGGACAGATGCCTTAGGCCAGGGCTGGGGCTGAGAAAGTTGCCCATCTCCCTTGGGGAGAGGTCAATTCACCCCTACTTGCCTGCCCTTCATGGGAAAAGTGTGATTCCTGGGGCTGTTGCTCTGGACTCTGAGCCTTTATCTGCTCTCTTCCTTGTGCCCAAGGAAGGCCATTGCCTTTGTTTTGTGTCTCACTTCGCATTGCCACTGACAGTCACCCTAATGTGAGGTTGGCCATGTCCTATGATCCTTGCTCACCGAGTTAGCCCCCCCCATGTTGCATATTCCATTGTGTTGTGGTGGGACAGGGGCTATGTATCGATTGAGGGGGATACTAAACCAAGACAGAAGTCTAGGAGGTAACCAGCTACATGTCGGGCAAGGGAGCTGAGGCAGTACTGCAGGAGTGGGGTGTATGAGATGGTCAGGTGACACAGAGGACGCTCAGAAGACTCTAGAAGTGGCAGAGCTGAGGCTGGTAGTCAGGGGAGAGACTCTGATGCTTGAGAGCAGCAGCTGTGTGCTGGGCAGGGGGCAGGTTGCAAGGAATGTGGGATATCCTGTTCAGGGCAGAGGGGGCTCAGGTAAGAAGAGAGATGGCAGCTGCCCCAGGCAGGAGGGGAGCTCTGCTGAGGGGCAAGATCCACAGCGTTAAGGGGAAAGGGAAGAGTTGGAAGCTTTTCAGTGAAGAGCTGCTGGAGGGGTCTCTGCTGCTGCTGTGGGGTTGAGAGGGTGAAAAGTGGGAATTGTGCCCCCAAGAGCACTGTGCAGGCAGCCCCAAGACAGGTGCTCTGGGGGGGGTCGTCACATGGGTAGCACCTTACAAAGGGACAAGGTTGAATTAGACCCAGGCTATGGAAGTGGAGATGGGGGTAACTGTCATCCTTGCAAGCACTCCTACGTACTTGTGAGCACTGGCCTATGACAGGCTGTGAGAAACTCCAGATTTGAAAAAGCAGAGTCAGTCTGAACATCCTGATCATGACATAAAGTAAAAACCAATAGCTGATCAAAACCAAAAACTTCCCCTTCAAAACAGAAGTCAAATACTTTTAGTTCTGCAGTTAAAGAAATTGGAAGAATTCTCAAATGAAAATCGTTATGTAATCCCATCACTCTAGGCTGTGACAGAGGATTCTAAGTTTGAGGCTAGCTTGGACTACACAGACTGTCTTTACTAAATAACCATAACGGTATTAAAACCAGTATGGCTAAAGCTAGGCAAAGTGAGAGGCCTAGATACATATCCGTAAAAGCAGAGAAAGCAAATAAACACGCCAATTTAAGAAAAAAAAATAAAAGCAAGGGCAATCAAAGTAAAAGCAGAAATTAAGTTCATTAGTAATGTTTTCTAACTCATTAAGAGCTAGTCTCCTAACATTAAAACTGGCTCAAAAAGCTACCTCTCTGGGGGCGGAGCTCAGTGGTACAGCACACGCACAAGGCCTTGAGTTCCACCCCCAACACTGCAAACAAGCAAAAGCTCAGCTTGTCTAATGGGGGAAATACGTTTCTCTCAATGACAGAGAAAAGCGAGAATGCATTTGCATTAATGTGTATAAACTCAGCTAGGATATAAAAACTAATCATAGTAATTAACTTTTGTAGGGATTGAGAGGTAGGAAGTCAGAGGAAGGAGAATATTGTAAGACTTTGACTACTATCTTTAGTGTGTGTGTACATGCATTTCTGTGGTGCTAGGGATTGAACCCAGGCCCTGTAATGCCAGATAGTTGATTTTTGAGCTAGGGGAATATATTGCATATTCAAAATTATGTTTAATGGGTTTTTGAAGGGAAGAAATCACTGTTCTCTGGGTTTCTGATTAGGGTAAGGAGGCTGTTGGTGACCTTGGAAGAAGTGTTGACACAGCCTAATACGTCTGGGGAGGGATTTGGGGAGCAAAGATGTAGGGAACAGTTTCAGGATCTTACTTGGAAGGGTAGGTGGCAAGCTTGTACACACCCTCACTGGCCTGAAAGGAAGTTGATAATCTGGCCAACCAAGAGGACAGGACTGCTGGGCTCTAGATTTGGGGCTCTGTGATCTATGATGGGAAGATCAAGGTGGTCTGGCTGAGGAGTGGGGCATGACAACTCTGGATGGAGAGAGAGAAGTAAATGTTCAAAACTGACTCAAGGAGTAGGCAGGGTACTGGTGTCCAAGACTAGGCAGCCATAACTTTATAAGTGCTGTGGATTTGCAAAGATTAGTGTTATACAAAGTGTATCTGGGAGGAGGACGGAGAGTTGGAAAGGGCTTATAGGAAATGATGGTTGCCTGGCTACAAGGCCCCATGTTTCCACATCATCTGGTACAGATCTGGATTCCTTCCTGGTTGGGAGGGCAGGGTAGGGAAGGTATGTGGGAGGCAGGGAACCAGTTCAGGAAGAAGTGCATTTGGCTGGGGGTTCAGGCCCCTTTGCTTACATGGGCTGTAACTTTGCCCAAACTGCCTCACTGCCCATTGCCTGCTTGCCTTAATACATTTCCAAAGATGTGTGTGTCTGTGTTTTAAGGCTTTGAAATCAACTTCATCAAATCTCGGAGCAGCAATATGTTGGCACCCTATGACTACTCATCAGTGATGCACTATGGGAGGTGAGCATCTTTTCCTTTCCTCCCTTCTCTTCCATGGGTCACAGTCCCTGCTGTGACCCTGATACAGGCTCCACCCTTGGCTTCCAGGTTTGCCTTCAGCTGGCGTGGGCAGCCCACCATCACACCACTCTGGGCCCCCGGTGTCCACATTGGCCAGCGATGGAACCTGAGCACCTCGGATATCACCCGGGTTCGCAGGCTGTATAACTGCAGCCCAAATGGCTCTGATTCCTATGGGAGAAGTGAGTGTCAGGGAGAGTGACTTGACCTGGGGTGCTGATGTGGATCAGGGAAGGTAAAGGAGTAAGAGATGAGGATGAAAGGGGAGGTCAGGCATGTCATTGTGACTCATCACGGTAGAATTCAAAGACATGTTTGAAATTAGTTAATCCTTGTGATTAAATCACCTTGGCAAAAAGAGAGGCAACTTTCTTACCCTAGACAGACAATGAACATCTACCAAAACCCAGAGTAGAAATAATTTTAATGACAAAAGATTAAAACTTAGGATCAAGATAAGTTTTCTGATGACCATTCCATCTAGACAATGCTGTAACATATGGAGGTCTTAGCCATTTGAGGTATGGCAAGAAAAAGTTCTGAGGTTTAGAAAGGAAGTAAAAACTATCACTAATTATAGATTGTACTGAAATCAGCAAAACCTATAAGCAAATTATTAGGATTAATTTAAAATATAAAATAATATATAAGAATCATATCTTCAGAAAACATAACTTTTTAAAAGATATATTACTAAGAAGGTCTATTACTAAAAAGGCATATATACTAAAAGATAGACTACTAAGAGCTCCAGGAAGAAAAGTGACAGAAGTTATATAAGTTCTCCAGGGATGGGGCTGGAGAGATGGTTCAGTGATTTAAAGTTGCTCTTGCAGAGGACATAGGTTTGGTTCTTAGCATCTGAATGGCCACTAACAACTGTCCATAACTCAATTCCAGGGAATCTGGTGCCCTTTTCTGGTTCAGGCATTGCAAGCACATAGTGCATAGACATACATGCAGGCAAAATACATAAAATTAAAAAAATTTAAAATTTTATGGGGCAAAACATTTAATAAAGAAATACTTAAGTAGGTAGACATGGTGCTACATATGTGTGATCCTAGCACTCAGGATGAGGTAGTTTTGTAAATTTGAGGCCAGCCTAGGCTGTATAGTGAGACTGTCTCAAAAAAATACTTGAATATACAAATGAATGTTACAGATAGGAAGACAGTATTTTAAAATTTTCAGTTTCCCCAATTTGATCTATAGATAATTTGCACTCAAATCCCAACATTGGCAGGGTGATTCTAAAATTTACCTGAGAAAATAAAGACCAGTAAGAGCCAAGACACACCTGAAGAAAAATAAGTGACGGCTCCAGGTGTAGGGGCGTACACCTGTAGTCCTAGCAGCTGTGAGACTGAGGCAAGAGGATAGCCAACTCAAGGTTAGCCTAGGCTACATAATCACCCTGCTTCCAAAACCAGCAACAATCAAAAAGGGGGTGTGAAAAGTTGCCCTAACCTGTGCTATCAGGTTATAACTGTCCTCAAATAGATGCAAAGTGTATAGAATGTTTTCATGTATATGCATGCAGAATGTATGGCACATGCTTTTATGCAAGTGCATAGCATGGGCACAGAGATAAAGTGCCTGTGGGAACAATGTGGCAAGTTCACAAATGGATCCTGCTCAAATGTGGAACCTCCATAAGGGGACTTTGACCATGAGGGAAAGGATGGATTGACTACTAGATGGTTCTGAGATAATTAGGTATCTACTAAGTTACAATCATTATATACCAGTATACCCCAGAGGTCTAAAAGATTTATATGTGAATGAAAAACTTTTAAAACTACTGGAAGGAAACATAGATCTTTTATAAGCTTGGAAGAATTTCTTACATGAAACCTCCTAAAACTAGGATTAATAGTCATTATAGTTTTCATTCAATTTATTATCAAGAGATGCTACAATTCTAAAATACAAGTTATAAACTAGAAGAGATGCTTTGAAACATAACTAGTTGTGTTAAGAATCCAGAAAGAACTGTAGTAAGTCAAAGAAAAAACCAAACTGGAAAATCAAATGAGATATGATCCTATAAAACTCTCAGCCTAAGTCTGACATGGTGGCACATGCCTTTGATTCCAGCACTCAGGAAGCAGAGGCAGGTGGGCCTCTGAGTTCAAGGCCAACCTGATCTACATAGTGAGTTCCAGGTCAGCCAGGGCTGCACAGTGAGTCCCCATCTCAGACAGCAATAACAGAAAAGACTCCCTCAACCTCACTGAGGAAATGCAAATAAAACTACAATATCATTCTCTTCCTAAATGAGCAGAAATTCATAATCCCAACAATAACAATGATAAATAATTGGTAAGGATGAGGAGCAATGGGTGATGTTTGTACCCTACTGATGGGGCCATAACTTGCTACAACCATCCTAGAGGACAATGTGGCACCTTATGAAGCTGATGTGCACTGCTGTGACCCAGATTCCACTTCTAGGTCATCTTAACATCTGAGTCCCATCCTCCTTTCCCACCAGCCCCAAACTAATCACTAATCTTTCTGTCTCTATGGATTTACCTAGTCTAGACAGCTCATATAAATGGGGCCATGTAACAGGTGGCCTTTTGTGTCTGGCTTACTGCCCTCAGCATACTGTTTCAAGTTCATCTATGCTGTGGCACTGATCAGCACTTCATTGTTGAACATCTAGGTTGTTTCTGCTCTTTGGCTATTTATGAATATAATGTTAGTATACTATGTCAGTATCTAGGTGTAGAATTGCCAGGCCCCTTGGTAACACCATGCTTAACTGTTGAACTTTCAAAGCAGCTGCAGTGTAGCTGAAAATTTGAAAATTCCACCATCAGTGTAGGAAGGTACTGACTTCTCCATTCTCACTAATGCTTATAATCTATGCTTTGATTATAAGCATCCCGGTGGGCACAAATATCCCATTCTCATCTTGATTTGCACTTTCCTAATGACTAATGATGTGGAGCATCATTATTTATGTGACTAGTAGTCATGGCCCTTTTTGGGACAAATAGCTGCGCAGATCCCTTGCCTAGTTTTCAGTTTTCTTGTCTTTTCCTTGCTGAGTTGTAAGTCTCTTTTAAAATATACTCATAATTGACAAGGGGTGTTCATTCAGTCATTTGGAAAAATTTCACCACAGACAGTGTGTAGTTTTCTCTTTCCAGCGTTTGAACAGCAACACTTTGACTTTGAAGTCCACCTCATCTTTCCCTTTGTCATCGTGCTTTTGGGTGTCACGTTTGAGAGGGTTTTTGTCTAACTCAAGGCTTTGAAGATTTGTCTGTTGTCTTCCAAGAGTATTAGTTCTGATTTTACATTCATGTCTGTGACCGTTTTGGGGTTTACTTGTGTATGGTGCAAGGAAGGGGTCAGACTTCAACCTTCTGTCTGTAGCCTATCTAGCTATTTTAGCACTATTTCTTGACTCTTTTCCACATGTATGTGTGTATATGTATACAGCATCAAATGTTATATATTATTTTGTATGAGTTATGCCTGCATGTGTGTAAATGTACCCATGTCGGATCCCCTGGAACTGGAGTTATGAATGGTTGTTAGCCACCATGTAGGTGTTGGGATTCAAACTCGGGTCCTCTGTAAGAGCAGCCAATGATCTTAAACTGCTGAGCCATCTCTCCAGGCTGAATATTACATATTTTTTTAAAACTGAAGGATGAGATGTCAGTGTTGCAGGTCAATATGGAGGTTTGATTATCACAAAGAGCAGAGAATTGGGAGGTAGCTGAGAGGGACTGGTCCAAGGGAAGGTTTTGTTAAGATGGTGGACAGGTTGACATGTTTGGGTGTTGAAATGATGGCCCAGTGGAAGAGAAGGGGCAGTACAGGAGAAGGAAGGTCTGTCAGAATTTTCAGGGGGGCTCAGCCCTTGATGGGAGCTTGGTTCTTCCTTAGACATAATGGGAAGGGACACAGGAAGAGTGGACTGGGTCATGTATGGATCTGGGGACACGGGAGTAGACCTGGGACACAGGAGTGGACTGGGTCTGTTTGGGGTTCTGGGGACAGTTTATAGCCTTGGCCCCACACAGTGAGGTGAGGTTGCTGTCAGAGCAGTGGGAGGGACATGAGGCGGTACAAAGCAGCTGGTTGGTTGAAGTGGCAGGACATAGGGTGGTGCTAGGGACTGGGGTATGACAGGGAAGGTGGTTGGGGATGTCCTAGGGGATGATGGCAGCTGAGTCAGTTGACAAAGCTGGTCTAAATTAGAGGGTAGAGGCACTGCTGCTAGAAATTGAAGTGTCAGTTGTTGTGGGCTCTGGTGCTGATGGGATCCAGAGGGAGGGCTGTGAGGGCAGCAGAAGCAGGTGGGAGGAGGGTCACTGGTTGAAGGAGTCATTATGGATTGGTCACTGTCCATTGATGGAGAAATGGGCTCATGGTGAGCCTGTGGTAAGTGAGCAGGAGAGATGGGGCTGAGAGCACTGCAGTCAGTCAGGACATGCCAGATAAAGCCAGGTAACAAAGGCCTAAAGTAGTGTTCTCATAGAAGTGTCAGTCATGGCCTGGGTGTGGCAGCAAAGAGGATCTGCCTCCTCCTGCATTAGTGCCAAGACCTGAGAACACTCATCGTGTGATGCCCTCCTTGGGTTGGGACAGGCATGGTGAAGGGAGGTGAGTATTGCGCTGCAGAAGGCTTGAAGGGCCTGGAAGGCTGAAGAGCTGGGTTGATTGGGCGAACAGAGCAGCCTGGGGTGGGAATGGGGGGTGGGCTGTGGGATTTTCTAGTGGTGACCTCAGGGGCCAAGTGAGGAGTGAATGACATGACTTCATTGTTTTTCTTCTTTTTAAAGACAGGGTCTCACGACAGGGTCTCACTATGTAGTCCTGGTTGGCCTGGAACTTGCTATATAGACCAGGCTGGCCTCGAACTCGGAGATCCATCGGCCTCTGTGCTGGGGTTAAAGGTATGTGCCACCATACCTGGCCTACCCTGGTCTCTTTTTCAGTTTTTGAGACAGGGTCTTGCAGGATAACCTAGGCTGACCTGAAACCCACAGTCCTCTTGCTTCAGGTTCTTGAGTAGCAATTACAGGCATGAGCCATCATACCTAGCCATTGTACTGGTATATGGTGGAAATGTATGGATTTGTGTCTTAGCAGTGACCTGGTAGGTTGTCAGCTCTGGGAGTCTGGTTCCATATCCCCTTGAGTAAAGCCTAAGTCAGCACAAGCTCTTGCAGCTGGGCCACATGCCTTCCTTTCATGATTTTTGAATCCTAACTTCCTATCTCTCCTGCCCTAGGGTTCCAGGCCCACAGTGATGGCCGGAGCTCCACTCCTGACTCTAGATCATATATGCAAAGACTTCTGGAGGTGCTGTTTGAAGAATCCAGGAGCCCAGGCCCCAGTGGCTCTAGGGATGGAGGCCAGGGTATTGCTACAGGACCTATAGATAGTGCACAAACGTGGGAGCATCCTGCCCAGAGTGAGTTCAATGTGGAGGCAACCTTGGCAAGACCACCTCAGATGCTAGCTTCCTCCCCAAGATCAAGGCCTAGAGCAGATACAGATGGCATTGCTCTGCAGCAATTACAGCTAGCCCGAGTGCCTACCATACCTTCTACTTCATTGCCAGAAGCCAAAGACCAGCCAGTCCTTATCCAAGCTGCTTTTGAGAGCCCAGCTCTGCTTCCAGGAGGTGGTGAACCTGGAAGTTACTCTGAGGAGGTGCCCAGAGATTGAGCCTGTGACTTTGTCCACAAGTGGGGGAGGGTGTGTTCTATCCAGAGGGGCTAGGCCTTCTAGCCCTTGGCCCCTCTGTGTGTGCATGTCACCCCTGTCTTCTATCATCTGTCCTGGCCACTTTCTGATGCCCATAGTTACTACCTTGCTCTCTTCCCTACCATATCACCCCAAGGAATCCTAGGAGGATAGAGAGGCCCCTTGGGTCTCTTTGATCCTGACTTTAGCCTGAACCCCAGAAGATGCCTGGGATGGGAACAGATAGGATCTTGGGAGTGGTAGGGAAGAGAGAGTTCAGCCCTGATGGTCCCTGGGACTTCTGTGGCTGAGGCCTAGCCCCCAGCATGAACTCAAACGCTGCCTTGGGAATAGGCCTCAATGGGGAGACCTGTGACCCCAAATATCCCGTCCCTGATCTGATGTCTTGCTGTAAGGATGTTCTGAAGCCCTGGCCTTCAGTCCTGTTCTTCAGGAAGCAGAGAGGCCAGTTCATTCTCCTGCAGAGCTGAGCCAAAAAGAGATGGCGCTTTACCAGATCTACATGATGGGCCCAGGACAGCCTTGAAACTCATTTCTATGTCAGATCACCATGTCTACTTGCCTTGCCCAGAAGAGGCTCTGGAGGAGACAGGGGTTAGGGGTCACATTGCTTGTCCTCCAGCCAAGCCCCACTCTTCCCTGGCCTTCCTCATGAGGTTTCTTCTAGGAGCAAAGAAACTGTGGGTGCCAGTGAGAATGTCTGGGCAAGGAGCCCTGCAGTCTCCAGGGGACTTTTAAGTCAGGGAAGCTTTGCTTGGGGTTGGGAAGGGGACAGGAACCTCAGCCATGTGGTAGAAGTCAGGAATAAAATTGGGTATTTGTTTCATGTAATGTGCTATGCCGACCTCCTATGTGCTAGATCCTTTTCACCCCCCAAGTGCCTGTGAGGGGCCCCCAGGAGGTCACACCCACTCTCTAGAAAGGGTCAAACTTCAGGAGGGACATAGACTTGCTCAAGGTGGCAGAGCAGAGAGCAGAAGTAGAGCTGAGCTTGGCATCCTGAAGATTGAGAGTTTGGACTTTGCCAGCCTTTGGAGAGGGGCTATCTCAAGGGCCTCTTGCAGGCTTTGTCCTTAGTTTAACTTGGGCTTCAGAGCCCAGTCCAGCATTTTCTGACACTGAATGAGGGCCTAGTGCTGGGCATCAATCTCAGGAAAGATCAAGGGATGCTGTCCCTCTTGGTCCTGGGTATGGGGAATGTGGGATCAGGCTATGATACTTAGTGAGTGGAGGCTCTGACCATTGGGTGACAGCCCCAATGAGAAAGGCATTGAACAACCCTTGAGGTACAAAGTGTGGCTGCCTTGCAACATGTTCAAGTAGCATCTGGAACTGGGCTGGGGACTCCAGGTGGCCCTACCAGGTCAGAGGAAGGTATTGGCTCTGGCTTTTGAGCTACCCCATCAGGCTCTCAGGCCATCTATGAAGATTCTCGCTAAGATGTGGCTCTTGAAATAATGGCTAAATATGGCTTCAGAAGATGGGCTTGGGTGAACCTGGTAGCTCTGTTCTTTGGGGGTGGCCAGGGGCAAAGCTGTCCTTGTCATTTCCTACCCAGGAAGTCATTTGTCACTCTTAGAACCTAGCTTCATGACAGCTCTGGGTGTAGGTGTGCTCCCCAAGCCTCATCCTACAGAATGTCTGGTGGTTCAGCCCTTTAAGCTTCAGCCTGCAAAATAATCAGACTGGCTTAGCTACCTTCCTGGGGGGTCTGGATTGTTCATCTCTCCACCCCCCCACTTACATAGTGGACTTGCTCACCAATGTATTCACTTATTCAACAGACTATGAATATCAGGTGCTAGGCAGGCTCTGTGATAGGCACTGGGAATAACATGAGCAAGGCAGGGCTTCTAGAGAGATGGATAGTAACTGGCTAATAGCAAAGCGCCTGGAATTGAGAGCACTCCCACTGGCTGTTAGAAAGGACCCCTGTACAAATGCATGTCACCTGAGACCTGGATGACAGGAAGTGGTTGTCTAGAAGAAATCTAGAGGGCCACAGTGCACAGGCCCTGGGATAGGAAGGAGCCAGGAGCTTCTGGCTAGTGTATCGGGGCAGGGTAAAGCAGGCAGGCCTGGATCAGGCACAGAGGGGAGAGTTTTCTTCTAAGCAGCAGGGAGTAAGAAAATTAAGGCTTAAAAAAGACATTTTTTAATGGGAAATGGATTAGAAGCCAAAAGTTGTCATGCGAATGAAGGGATTGTGGAAATGGACAAAAGTGGGTGCTTTTGACCCGATGCAGGAGGTGAGGGGAAAACCCAGGTAGATGCCGACCTGAGAACCAAACTTAGGGAGAGACATGGTTAGGGGAAGTGGACGTGCTAAGTCTGAGTCCGCTATAAGACACAACATGGGTGGGTCAAGGAATGGGTTGGCTCAAAGGGCCTGGGTTCAAGGGGAGAGCGGGCACATGTGCCCTGGAGGGTCACCAGTGTCTCGTGGGTAGCCATGGTTGGATGAAACTCCTGCAGAGTTTAGATACAGGAGGGATTCTAGAACTGGATGTGATGCTGTGCAGTTAAAGTGGAGTTTCCACATCTTGGCACCCAACAGTCTTTCCCTGTGGTGGCTAACCTGAATAGGCTAGATGTCAGTAGCAACCTGCCTGGGCTGTGATGGTCAAAAGTATTTCCAGGCATTGCCAAAAGTTCGTGGATGAAGAGGGTCACAGTCACTAAGAGCCAACAGGAGACTTAGGAGGGGTGCCCTCTGAAGAAAGATTATCACCAAATATTCCAAGGTCAGGGAGCGGTTCACTGAGAGGACACACATGGGTGGGCTTTGGAGGGTCGGCTGCAGATACATCTCTGGGGGTCATGGAGAGATGGGTGGGTGGGCCAGGACTGAGTTTGAAAGCAGGGGGTTGAAGGTAGCCTGAGTAGTTGGGTGGGCAGGAGGGCTGTCCGAAGGGGAGGCAGTTGTGTGAGGGGGAGTTGGAAGGGAGGAGTCCTGGGCTCAAGGGGTACAAGCAGAGAACTTGCTCTCCCAACAGAGCACACAAATGGAACTCTCATGTGGAAGCCCCTGCCTGATGCCTTCCATTTTCTAAGCAGCAGGGAAAGTGGGAGGGAGGGATGCGGTTTCAGAGAAAATGTGGTATTAGAAAAGTCTGGAGACCTGTGGTTAGGAGTTTAGCACTGAGCTGCTCTATGCCAGTAGTTCTGTAAAAAGCAGTTGCTTGGTCAAAGGGAGTGGGAGAGTGGGTTAGGCTTGACAGGTGGGGCTGGGGCTCTGCAGGCCCTTGATGACAGAATGACTCAAGGGTCTGGAAGCAGGGGGGCTGGATCACATGGAGTGTTCTGTAAATGAGGGTCCAGGGCTTGAAAGGTAGGGGGATCTGGGAAAGCAAAGTGTGTAGCTCTGTATGTGTGAATGTCAGTTTGGGGGAGTCTTTAGGGAAGGGAGGGCAGTGCTAGGAGCTGCTGGGCCCCACCCAGGAGACTCAGTGCTGTCACCTCAGTTCTCAGATGTCCTGTTCCTCCCTAGGTTCCCATGGTCAGGTCAGGGAAAATAGTCTTTCCCTTCTTTGGAAAAAAAAAAATTTGTATCACCTACATGTAAAGTCATCTGTCCTTGCGTTGTCTCTCCAAGGACATTTCTCTGGGGGATCTTAGGCACAAGCTGTCTGAGCATAATAATTATACATTAATGCCACTACCCCTCACTAACAACTGTGGGCCAAATTTTGGAAACAAGGAGGGATGTTCCTCTGATAGAACAGGTGATTCAACAGTCATCAGATGATATTTAGGTATGGAATTCTGAGTGCCAGAGTGTGCATGGTATCAAGGGACCTGGCAACTAGGACCTCCTGTCTGGCAGGGTGGTGACAGGCCAGTGGCGCTTGAGGAGAGCAGAGCCTACTCGGGAGGGTCTCTGGCAGAACAAAGCCCTAGGAAGGACCGGAGGCATGCTGACTCCATTCCTTGGTGCTAGGGGCTAGGCCATCCCTTGGTGCTAGGGCAGCTCCTCCTACTCTCTCTGCCACAGGGCAGGAGGGCACCCTCACTGTGGCCACCTTGGGCTGGTGCCTGACTGGTCAGCATGGCCTGGCTTCGGTAGACTTGGAGTTGCCCCTTCAGGGAGGAACCAGGTGATTCCTCCTGAGGGTGAGATGGGGTTATGGGTAATCTTGGCTTCTGTTCCAGTAGCATCCTTGAGGCTTGGCTCTTTAAGGAGAAAGGGACATAAAACACCCCATCTGAAGCTGCTAACAGTGTCTGGGGAGTCTGCCCCAAGTCTGGCTATGGCTGGAGATTGTGGGAAGGCAGACTATGTCTCTTCAGTTCTCCAGACCTGCAAGCTCTGTGACAGAAAGCAATGGGGCAGATGGGGTCTTGCCTCAGTGGCTGTTTCCTAGGCTCCCCATAGGCAGCCTCAGTCCTTTGTCAGTGAAGGGACTACCAGAACCCCTTCATCCCTGGTGACTGGGGGCTAAGCCCTGCTCAGCCCAGTGAGTGGGAAGGATGTATGTAGCTGTAAACCCTGTCTCAGGAGTGTAGCCTCAAAGGGGCAGAGGCAACTGGCTGTGCTTTCTGATCCTGACCTACCTGTCACCACCCCATTGGGCTGTGGCTGTGGTGGTCCCACCCAAGAGGGTGGCAGGGCAGCCTGAGACGAGGCATTTGTTCCCATCGCCCCAATGTGGCTGTGTGCAGAAGTCTGGGCACCACCTGTCTGAGTCTGGGTAGGGGACAGACCTGTCCTTGAGAATCCCAAGATCACACAGTCCATTCTCTCAGAAACAGGCAGGAGGAGTGAAAATCCAGGGGACATACTGGGTTGAAATGGGGACTGGGGGTGAACCTCATGTTCAGAGATTAATCTAGACATATTTACATGTGTCCCTTCAGAACTGGAAGTTGTCAACACAAAGCCTCGCTTTCTAGGCATTAGGGAGTTCCAAATCTGTGGAGAAGCTTCTGGAGGCTGCCCAGGCTGCACTGGTAACAGTAGTTTTCTGGAGAGGAGTGTGGGGATATCTAAGGGAGACCAGTAGCTCAGCATTCCTTTGAAGGCAGGAGGGCCTAGAGTAAAGTTTCCTCTTGGCTTGTTTCTCTTCCCACAGCCATCCTAGAGGGGCTGAGATGTGCATCTGCAGTGGCAAAGGCCAGCTCCTCCTTTCACAGCGGCTGCTGACACCTGCCTTTTCTCTGAGCTGGGCATGGGGGAGGGACAGGGATGAAAGGGGAGGAAGAGCCACATTGGCCCCCACTAGGTCTCCTCATGTTGTACCAGGGGAGGAAGAAACCTTTTCCATTGCCTCATTTTCCATTGACCAAGAGGCTGCAAGCCCGTACCTTTGCTTTGAGTCCGAGCTGTTTTTCCTCTTTAAGTCCTGTCTTGGGGCTGGGGAGATGGCTCAGGAGTTAAGAGCACTGGCTGCTCTTGCAGAGGTTCGGTTCCCAGCACCCACATGGTGGGTAACTCCAGTTCCAGGGGATCCAGTGCTCTTTTCTGACCCCTGTGGGCACTGCAGGACATAGGTGCAGTTACATACAGGTGGGCAATACACTCATAGATTAAAAAAAAAAATTTACCTGTCTATCCATCTGCTTGTTTACCTACCTACCTACTTTAAATGAAATGTATGTGTGTATCTCTGTATCACGTGCAGGTGCTCCAAAGAGGCTAGAGGCTTCGAATTCCTTGGAGCTGGAGTTAAAGACGTTGTGAGTCACAGGATGTCGGTACTGGCAACGAAACTCCGGTCCTCTGCAAAGGCTCTCTCTCCAGTCCCCCCCAACCCCACTCTTTCTTACCTCGTTTGCCTTTAATGAGGGAAAGTGAGGCAGCAACAGGAAAGCTGCAGTCATATATCCCTAGTGGTTCAGTGCTTTCCTCTGGTGCTGTCTTTTCAGTGTCTCCGGGACGCAGACCATCTCTGCACGCAGACCGCAGCAGAGGGCGCTCGCAACGCGGAGATGCGGCTTCAGTGCACGTCCAGAGTCCAGTCTGGGTGGGGAAGCATTAAGAAAAGGGGTTCGGAACCCTTTTCCCACCCCGTCGTCCTTCAGTTACGGTTCTTCACGGCTGTGATGCTGAATGGAGGTCATGCTTAAAGACCCCAACATTCCCCAGCATGTGACATGAGCTTGCGCCTACTACCCCAGATCTGGGTGCTGGGTCCCAGTCTCGCAGCCTACAGGCAAATGGACCCTTCCTAGTGCCTGGGGACAGACCAGCTCCGCGTCACAGCCCAGGGCACGCACCGACCCTTCTTTGCATTCCTTTCCAGAACCCGGGACACCCGGCTCCCCTGACCTGGAAAGGAGTGCAAACGCCAGGGCAGAGGCCCCAGCGAGGAAAGGGTGCATGCCGAGGGGCCACCCTCCGGCAAAGCGCACCTTCCAACCACCCTCCCTCGGGTCGCCAGCCCCGCCCCTCTCCCTCCCCCGGCTCCCGCCTCCAGTCTCCTCCCTCCTCCAGCCGCTCGCTTTCTTACCCACTCCCCTGCCTGGGCGGACTGCCTGCAGGCGCGGCTCCGGGAGAGAGGGCTTCGGCTTTGCGCCTTCTCGGAGCACCAGCCGCGCATCCCTGGTCCTGCCCGCCGGGCTCCGCGCCCTGCGCTCTGCCTCCTGCAATCGCGTGGCGCAACGGCGGTACTTTCCTCCGGTCCTGGGACTGCAGCGGGACAACTTGGAAAACTTCTCTGGGGCGACATCAGGGTCGCCCAGCACCAGTGGAAGAGGATGCAGGAGAGAGTTCACTAGTCCCGGGTATCCCCAGGTTGCCTAGGCCAGACCATGGGGCTCTAGAGCCATCAGCACCGCCAGGGGGTCGACCCCCTCCAGTAGCGAAGCCGGGCTGGCGCTGTCTCCCGCAGAGCGCGTGTTTGGTGAGCTGAGCTCCCTATGGATTTGTCCCGCCTCGCCATGGACCACCAGGGGCCCTACTCCGTGCAGGCCACCGCGGCCATCGCAGCGGCCATCACCTTCCTCATCCTCTTCACCATTTTCGGCAACGTGTTGGTCATTCTGGCTGTGCTGACCAGCCGCTCTCTGCGAGCACCACAAAACCTGTTCCTGGTGTCACTGGCTGCCGCGGACATTCTAGTGGCCACGCTCATCATTCCGTTCTCTCTGGCCAACGAGCTGCTGGGTTATTGGTACTTCTGGCACACATGGTGCGAGGTCTACCTGGCGCTGGACGTGCTCTTCTGCACCTCGTCTATCGTGCACCTGTGCGCCATCAGTCTGGACCGATACTGGGCAGTGAGCCGAGCACTGGAGTACAACTCTAAGCGCACCCCACGCCGTATCAAATGTATTATCCTTACTGTGTGGCTCATCGCAGCCGTCATCTCTCTGCCGCCTCTTATCTATAAGGGCGACCAGCACCCCCAGACCCACGGGCTCCCCCAGTGCGAGCTCAACCAAGAGGCCTGGTACATCTTGGCTTCCAGCATCGGATCTTTCTTTGCTCCCTGCCTCATCATGATACTGGTCTACCTGCGCATCTACATGATTGCCAAACGCAGTCACCGCAGAGGTCCTAGAGGCAAGCAGCACTCTGGGGAGGGTGAGTCCAAGCAGTCCCAACCTGTCCCTGGAGGGGCTCTAGCCTCAGCTAAGGTGCCAACCCTGGCCTCGCCTCTGTCTTCTGTGGGAGAGGCCAATGGACACTCTAAGCCTTCTAGGGAGAAGGAGGAGGGGGAGACCCCCGAAGATCTTGAATCCAGGGCTTTGCCACCTAGTTGGTCTGCCCTTCCCAGCTCAGGCCAGGGCCAGAAGAAGGATGTTGGGGGGGCAACTGAGGAGGAGGAAGCTGAAGAGGAAGATGAAGAGGAGGAGGAAGAGTGTGAACCCCAGGCACTGCCAGTGTCTCCTGCCTCAGTATGCAGCCCAGGCTTGCAGCAGCGCCAGGGTTCCCGGGTGCTGGCCACCCTCCGTGGCCAGGTACTCCTGGGCAGGACTGTGGGTGTTGTGAGTGGGCAGTGGTGGCGACGTCGGGCACAGCTGAGCAGAGAGAAGAGGTTCACCTTTGTGTTGGCTGTGGTGATCGGTGTTTTTGTACTCTGCTGGTTTCCCTTCTTCTTCAGCTACAGCCTGGGGGCCATCTGCCCACAGCACTGCAAGGTACCACATGGCCTCTTCCAGTTCTTCTTCTGGATTGGCTACTGTAACAGCTCTCTGAACCCGGTTATCTATACCATTTTCAACCAGGACTTTCGCCGTGCCTTCCGAAGGATCCTTTGCCGCCAGTGGACACAAACAGCCTGGTGAGCCTGCCTGCTCACTGCCTGTGAAGGGTTGGTACTAGGGCCACCCTGTGATTTGATCCCCACCCCCACCCCTTTATGAGTCCATCTCCCTGGGTCTGTCTGGTCACTGCAGACCCCATCCTAGGAACCCCCTGAAAGGGTCATGACAGAAGTGCTGTTCCCAAAGGGCCCACTTGAAACATCTTCTTGCTGACTCTTCTGTGGGAAGCTCTTCCCCACTCTCTCCTGAGCAAAGGCAGCTTGTACCTTCCTGGATATAGCCAAGGCCAGGCTGGATTAAAGTACCTCCCTCCTAGCCACCTGCAAGCTAATGGGTGGGCTTCCCTTTCCTGAAGACCACCTGTGCCTTGGCAGACCACTTGCATGTGGTTTCTTTTCTTTTTGTTTTTTTGAGACAGGGACTCATGTAGCCCAGGCCAGCCTCAGACTTGCTATGCAGTCTGAGGATGATCTTGAAGTTCAGATCCTCCTGCCCCTACCTCCCCAGTGCTGGGATTACAGGAGTGCACCACTCTGCCCAATTTATGTGGTGCTGGGGATTGAACCCAGGGCTTCCTGCATGCTAGGCAAGTACTCTACCAACTGAGCTACATCCCCAGCCTTGATTCTTCCTTATGCCTCCCAAAGAACAGGAATCTGGTCTTCCCATGTTTCCCAGGAAGGCCTGCTGCTGAGGGAGAGGAAGGAATGAAGACAATTCACTCAAGTTGAGCACCTATGGTTCCCATTGGTTACTTGGATGGGGTGTGTATGGGATGGGTCTCTGTGCCCACCTCCTCTTTGTGTTTTTACATTTGTGATTCCTTTGAGGCCAGAAGCATGGGTTGGTTTTCTTACTCAGCATCCCTCTGAGAGGCAAGTGGGCACATGGATGCTTTGGTGAGGAGGTCTGGAAGCCTGGCCTCTGCCTCAATAGGAGCTCCAGATCACTGGCATTCACCCCTGCAAGAAGCAAGGCGACAATTGCTTGCCGCCTACTTATGGCAGGGAGATGAAAGGCTTTGCAGAGAGCTTTGAGCTCCGTGGGGAAATGCGCTAGAGAGCCAGCAAATGTGATTATCTAGTGATCTAAAAATCCCCTTCCTATGTGTTTACCACCGCAAGCCTTCCTGTAGACTTTTGTTCTGTGCCTGGAGTGTGTGAATTTCTACCCCAAACTGGAAGTGGGGCGAGGTACACAGAGTCGCTATTTCAAGTTCCAGGGTTTCTTTGAGAATGTGTTCTTGTGCCCGCAAAGATTTGAGTTTTTATGCCTGGTGACAGCTTTTCCATGTGTCACCTGTAACACCAACAGGGTTTTCAGTAACTTGGCCCCCACCCCAGTGGGGGATAAGTCTTTTGTCAACAAGCAGGCAAATAATTTCCCTAAGACAGCTGAAAATACCTCCACCATGGAAGCAGTCTGAAATGAGAGCTTCAGGTGGGATGATGGGGCTGGAGAAGGCAGCCAGAGTCCCATGTATTTGTAGGGCAGTCACCTGCTGCAGGGCCCAGGCAGCTCTGTGAACCCCATGGGAAGCCTAGTGGGGCATAACTAATTCTACCCCAACCCAGGTAGGCGCCTTTCTGGCTGTTGAGGACCTTCACAGAGATACAGCTGTGCACTGGGGCACCTCTACCTCCCCGTTCTCTCTCTCATCATAGGCTCTGCTGCCCAGAGCCCTGGGCATGCATAAGGGATGTGTCTGGATCTTCTCCATGGGCAGCCTGACTTCAGCTCTGGGCACTGGATCTCTTAGCCTCAGGGAAGGAGTGGCCTGAGTTGCACATTCTATTGGCACAGGATGGACTGACTAGTTTTGGAAGGTGCTGAGGGAGTTTTCATGGACATAGAAAATGGTGGAAACCAGAGTCCCTCCTGGGGAGGAGGACTGTCCAGCCTGGTCCATGGTTGGTTGGATTTGTGAGGCCATGACACTGACTTGGGGGCATGGCTGAGGGGCTGATTTGTAACCATCTGTTGGCTGATCTTATGTACCCCCATGGGACCCATGGCCACCTGTTGTGATATGCAGGTGTTTTTAAAAGTCTAAGCTATTTTATCAATAAAGGCTATTTTGTAATAAGCAAGCTGTGTCCTGGTGTCTAAGGGCTGCCAAGAGAAGTTAGGGATTCCTGGGCTCCTTGCAAAGGACTGATGAACTGGGGCTCCCTCCCAGGGCCAGCTCGCCTCTCCACTCCACTGCCTATATGGTTTTGTCACCTCTCAGCATCCTTACTTGTCATCATAAGCCAATGAATACACCAAGAGGCAAGACAGGAAGGTGTTTGGGGCAAGAGAAGACCACATGTGAAGGTTTTTGAGTTGATGGTATTTGGGAGACAGCCTCAAACTCCCCTGCTGCATGGTCGTGTGTACAAGAAGGCACTACTGCTAGCAGAGGAAGAGGACTGGGCTGGAGGAAGGGTAGGCCACTCTGTAGAATGGAATCTACACAGCTGCTGTGTTTGGCCAGAACAGAGCTGCTTTGCTTCAGTTGTCTTAAACCAAGCCTCAGTTCCAGCCTTCCAAGCTGAAAAGCCTGGTAGGATCATTCTCCTGAAGCCCCAAGATTTCTGTGAGAGAGAGGGAATGAGTCGTCCTTGATGCCTCAGAGATGGCAAAGAAGGCAGCCTCTGGGGCTCCAAGCTGGGCTGATCTAGTATGAAGAGTAGGGGTGAGCCAGGAGGTGGGCAGCTGGAGGTCACAGGCAGGGTCGACACCCCTGGTATCCCTAGGTCTGGGATCTAGGGTGCAGGACTGCTTTACTATTCCCATGTTGATCCAGAATCTATACTTTCACCCTTTTCGTACTTTTTAGGGGTCACACTTCTACTCAGGACAAACAGCAGAAGCTTCAGTGTGTCCAGCACCATCAGTGGACATGAGCGTTGTTGAGAACCTAACAAGAAAGAGACCTGCCCTGTCTGGCTCCCAGATCCTCCCCAGCATGGCAGCCAGCACCAAGTCCCCACCGCCCCATGTAGGTAGGCTTCATCAGTCAGTCCCTTTCTCTGCCAGGTGCATGTTCTTTCCATCAGACTATACCCTCTATCACTCGAGGGTCTGCAAGGGCCTGGAAATAGGTGCCTGCTGATCTCTGGAAATGGAGGCAGACAGTCACCCCGCTGGAATAGATCTGTTTGCAAGCTGATTTGAAACACATTTAGTCTTCATACCCTTGCCATGTATGGTTATTTCACAAAAGAGGAAACTGAGACCTGGAACCACACAACTCTGACATTCAGGTATAGAAGAATTTGCTCCATCTCTTGTGCCAGCTTTATTTCAGTGGTTGTTGGCTGAGTGGAGGTTCTGAGACTAGGATCTGTCTGGATTCAGTAAATGGCAGTGCTGGGATTAATTGTTCATGTCTCTGCCACCAAATGCAAAGTGATGGTATGCGTGTGTCAGGGTTTCTACTTCTGATAGCTCAGTTCTATTTCTGAGGGCCCAGATACAGAAGATGTCTTGCCTCAGGTGGCCTCACATGGACACATGAACTGGATGTAGCACCCAGGTTGCCCAGAGTATCACAACTTCTAACTGAAGGGATTGCTTTATATCCAGAGTCAAGAAGTCAGGAAATGTCTGCTGACAGCCTGGACTAGGCGCATCCTCATCTTGCTACCTTATTTAGTTCTCAGGACTCATCCAGGTCCACAGAGCTAATGGGGGATGGTAGGAGCCAGATTCAGCCCTGGCTCTCTACCTGTCTCCTCTCCCTCACATCCCATTCCTGCAACTCTCAGAGTCACTAGGCTGGTAAGGAATTGTAGATGTGAGGGAATGGGAGTAATCTTGGCAAGCACAGAGGAGATGAGGGCAGGGGCTAGGGCACTAGCAGGGAGTCTCTGTAGCTCACCAGGTGGAGGAGAGCTGTCCTGGCTGGGAACATTGACCTTCAGGAGATTCCTTTCTCTGACTGAAGGACAAGCCCTGAGTTAGTGAAGCAGTGGAGAGGAGAGGACATCTCTTTAACTGTCCCTGATTTGTGAGAATCTGGATTCTCAGCACACAGGGATTCTGGGGCAGGGGTAGGGGACAGGCTTCGAAGCCAGACCATGCATCAAGCAGTCTGCTAAGAATTTCTGTTTAGAGCACTGTGGTGAGGGGGCCCTCCTGGCCACCTGCTTAGAATAGAAGGTACTGGAAACAAGAAGGCCAGGCTAGAGGGAGGTTTGTGGGTAATCAGGCTCAAGCCCACCCCCACGTGAAGTCCTGTCCGGCTTAGATACAAATGGGGCAGCTGCTGGCTGGGAGGAGTCTCTACCCAGCTGGAGCTGTACCAGGCAACCTTTGGCTTCCCTGGTGAGGCTGGGCAATCTGCTCACGGGGCCTGGTCACTGTGGGTGGCAGGGCTGACGTGGGGCTTCTGTTCCCATGAAGTCACAGTGGGGAAGTGGGGTGCCCAGGTTTATGTCCTGCCTCTGCTACAATGCTGGGTTTCTCTGGGCAAGGCTTGATCCTTCTCTGAACCTCTGTGTCCTTGCCTGACCATGAAGGACTGACTTCCCCTATTGTCCAAGGTTCTCCAGCTTGGGGTTCCCTCTCATTCCTTCTCCCCCAAACCCAGCTTCCGGGAGGGTCCAGGCATGGGGGTTCACTGAATTAATCAGCTGTGTTAATCAGTTGTTCTTAGCACCAGGCTGTGGCAGGCTCTAGTTGTTTGCTTTTACCTTTGACAGCTTAGAACATAACTGGGCACCAAGTCTGGAGTGACAGATTGTTTGGGGTCCTCTGAGATTTTCAGTGGTAACAAGAATGAGAACAGCTCTGACCTGTCTGTGTCCAGGGCCTGACAGTCCTTGCTTGAAAGGGTACCAGTGCTATCCTGTGTCATTGGTGAGGGAACTGAGGGAAAATGAGGGCTTGCCCTTTTGTCAACCAGAGTCAAGATGGTGACTCACACAACCTATGACCCCAGCCTCATCCTCCTCAGCACCCCAGAGCCTCACCCTTGGTGAGTCGTGGGCTCACCCTAGCATCCACCTATGTGGCTTGGGGTAGCTCCTACTTGTGAACCTCCTTATTAAAGCAGAAGCCCAGGCAGGGGTGTGAACTCCCACCCTCCAGGCTCTGCTCATTGTCAGCAGGAGGAGGTGTGTATGTGTGGGGCTCTCCAGGCTAAAATTAGCTTCTGGATTCTTCGAGCTCTGCATCCGTCCTTCTATCCGGCTGGGGAAGGATGCTGTCAGGAGGCCAGTGCTGGAAGGAGCTGGGTGTCAGCGTACACCCTCCCCAGCTTGTGGGCTCTGATCTTCTCACACCCTGTCCTGGCCCTGGGCCAAAGGCTGCTGCCCTTGGCACGGCCTTGTGGCCATCTATTGATTAGCAGTGATTTCTGAGGGAGAGGCCCATCACCATCCTCCCTCTGCCCCTGGGAGTCTAGTTCTTCCTCTGTCCTTCATCTCCCTCTTTTCTCTTCTTTTCTGTCTTCAAG